CCTAGTCTAAGTGTGAAATCCTACTTAATTTTCTCATAGGAACCCTTCCTAGAGCTAGTAGGTAGTCAAACCAACACAGTTTTTTTTTAAAGCCCATGTCTTCAGGTAACTTTTTTTCGAGTGTATATATACATATATGCAACAGTGAGTGCTTTTTCTTTTTTTACAACAGGGGACAAGGGCACCTTAACAAAATCTTGATGAGCATAGGAATACAACATTTTACCTATGACATAGCAAAGTAATGACAGCATTCACATGCCATCGACCTCAAGTAATAACATTGCAGTAAAAGACTAAAAGTGCCTTGTCTCTTCTGAAGGAGTAGAATAAGACAGTAATTTCAGTTAGTTATTTCACTGAATATCCATCCTTCCCTCTCTCCCCACAAATTAAAATAAGTGTAATAAACAGAACACCTTCTTTGGCAGTTAATACATAATGAGGAGCCAAGTTACCAGGCGACTGACTTCCTCCACCCTCCTGCATCATTACCGTGCATTTATTAAATTTACAGGTAATAATAAATTAGGAAGGGCTGAAGGCACTTGGGAACATGGGGTAAGAATTCAGTATGATCTCAGCCATTTGGAAAAATGAGCTGAAGTATGTGGGGAAAAAAGTCAACATGGAAAAGTGTGAAGTTATACAGTTGGGAAGAAAGACTCAGCCACACACCTCTGAAATGGGTAGCAACTTTCCTACTAGCAACTCCTCAGAAAAGGCTCCAGCAAATCTATGGGGTGAACACTGKTCAGTCGTGACACGTTCCTGTACGCAAACTAAACACCACAGTTGAATCACGAGTGCCAGATGTGGGATGCATCAAGTCACCACCCAGCGTGGATAAAGCACATCATGGTGTAACCTGCTGGGAGCAGTGCGCTTCCAGAAGGAGGCACAGGGACTGGAGAAAATACAAAGAACAACAAAAAATGAATGGAAAACATAACCTGACTGTGTTTAGACTAGAAAAGTCTGAAGGGAGACATGATAACAATCTTCAAGAATGTAGAAGATTGCTGCAAAGCAGAGGTAATAAATTATGCTTGTGCCTAAAGGGTTAGGACAGAGACTAATGGGTTTAAGTTGCAGCTAGAGAATTTACCACCTGGAGAAGCTGTAGAATCACTGTCACCAGAGATTTTTAGGAACAGGTTAGACAAACATCTGTCAAGAATGATTTAGATGTAACTACTTTGGGCTCAGGAGCTGGCCTTTGGAGATGGCCTCTCAAGGTTTTTCTTTCTTCTGTAACTGGATGACAGGAATCAACTTAATTACTACATCTTAAAACACTTCTCTGATTTTTTACTTTTTAAATTTTTTTCAAGGCAGATTTTTTTCTTTTCCAGTACAACAAAGCAAAACAAAATCCCGCCATTGAAAAACTCCTTTCCCTCGCTTGCATGGCAGTGAAGATGTGAGGTTGTTTGCTCACATTTGTTAAGACACTGCAAGTGTCTCAATTTGGTTCATTTAATTGGAGCCATGATATAAGATTAGTCTGGAGATTTTAAAACAATTCAAGAATAGAATACATTTTGGTTTATTAAATCAAACTAATTGTTGCTATAATTCTACTCACTGATGCCACTGCATTTACACTAACAATGTTTTTGATCCAGTATCTTCAGCAAAATTCTGCTTTCATGGAAATATATATAGGAGAGACCTTCAGTTAAAAAAATAATTTTTGAATTAATACATATATTTTTCAAGGAAAGATATTATATTCGCATCAAATATACTATGATTTAACAGAAAAGAGTTAATATGGCACTTGTTTGCTTCACAACCTCTGCTGGCCTCCACAGGTATATTTTGCTCTCAGAGCTTCCACTATTCACTCAACAAAAAACAGTAGAAATACATTGCTCTCCCTTGAAATGCCTGGAAAATGGAAATGCCTGGACAGAATTCACTCACAGTGTCACTGTGTGAGCCTTCAAAATGTAATGGAATTCTTTCTGCTCATGAAGTGCAGAATTCTGAATAACAGAGTCTGCCTCAAGTGATCATGGGACTATTCATGTGTAAATATGCAGTTTAGATAATATGATAAAAAGTAGTATCATCCAGATACATCTTTCTGTCCTTGAGTAAGATTGCTCTCTTACAAGCCTGCAAAGACATCAAAGAAGGCAGGATGTATTCCACTATATGCTGTTAGCCTTACATTTGTGTTGGCATGTATTTTAGAATTGCAGCTCATGCATTGAAGCAGGTCATTCAAGAATGATATTCATACTATGCCAGCCAGACTTGTCCTTCTTCCTCCCTGGGGCCACAGTAGGGTGTAAGTGCTGGAAAGCTACTTCTCACCTCATGTCTTTCTACAAYTTCTTGTTGGTAATGGTGGGTAGTTTGGCTTTTCTATTCTTGTAACCTTCTCCTTCCAAAACTCTGTTCATTTATCCACACTCTTCCTCTGCATAATAATCTTTTTCTACCTCCTTCTTGACACAATTATCTACAACTATCTAATTCCTGCTACTTTTCCTATATGTTCCAGCTCACCCTTTTATCCTCACGTCCATACTCACGTTACACATCCTCTGTCTACTCAGTATCTGAAAAATATGGCCCAGGACCACTGTACTTCCATGTCTTTCACCACCCCTAATCTTCTACAACTGTCCTTGAAATGGCCACTCTACTCATTTCTGCACCAAAACAATCTCAGTCACCCACAACAGCATCTTGTCTCTCTTTTGTGTTACTGTGAATCAAGGAAATCTAGATCTCCGTTTTCCTTTGATTCAGCAGCCACCCACTTCTCTCATATCTCACACTGTAGGTTGGACAGTGCAGAGATAAAGGTGAGAAATGTGTGTGGGAATTTGCACTCTCTCCCACCCACAAAGGATTGATATGAGGCCTGGGTCACATGCTTTTTCCTCAAGACATCAACAGCAGCATCAGTAACATTGAGCATTAACCACAGATAAACAACATAAATCMACAAAGTAAGCCAAGCCATTTTGTCTCACACAGAATTCCTTTCTCAACTTACTTTGCTTCTGGAAGCGTTTTTATCATGTCTTATTTCCATTTTCTCCATGCTCCAGAGTTTGCCACAAACCCATACAGTATATACTCTCACAATCAAAAAAAATTCCAGTTTCATTCTCAACAACTCAGAAAAGATCTGGATTCCCCCTACATCCTTAGGGAATCGGACTAAAATATTTTGGGAATCCTGCTTAAATTGAAATAACTTAGTGACATTCAACAGAAAATATTCAACTGGGAAAGTCCTTCACATAGAGCATACAGAAAGATGGGAAAACACCACTCCCCTCTTCAAAATCTAAGGACATTCAAGGACAGACACTAATTGATGATACAACMAATATTTAATGAAACTAGTTATTCTTTTGCCATTTGTTTTCCTCACACACAAATTGTTTTCTTCACACATGTTCCTTCACATGCTGCCTTCTGATTTGCATGAGATTTGGGAGATACACTGTAGTCACTTTTTTGTTCCACAAAGAGTCTGAAAGCAAACCCAAAATTCCTCCAGAAGATCTATTTAGTKTTTGTTTCTCTGTCCATTTAAAAAGGTTTGATAGTTGAAATAAATTATCCCTCTTAGTTAATTAGGAAATTTTCATATCTGCTTTTAGGACTGCTGCATTTCAGATGGTCTTATCTTTATGCCAGAACTTGAAAGTATAAACTGTCAGGATTGCCTATTTAAAACCTAGTATATATTGCTTTTGAGTGTACCGTGATGTTTTGCAGAATAATCTTATATAACTGTAAGTCTTCAGTAACTGAGTATAGTTTCCTATGTTCTTCTATCAAATGGATCTTAGAAGGATAATTCAGTGGTTGTGAAAATTGAAAACATTACACTATAGGTATGGCTGGTAGTACCGTCCACAACTACATTTTTATTTTATTTGCTACTAGAAAATCTGCTTTCAAGCATTTAATTTTGCCAGACTTTAAGTGTGTCAGATGAAGCTTTCCACTCTGAAAACCACAAGCATTCAAATATTTCTGAGGAACCCAGGGGAAAAAAATTATTTGGAACATATTAAAAAAAAAAAAAAAAAAAAAAAAAAAAAAAAAAAAAAAAAAAAAAAAAAAAAAGCATGAATAGCTATTTGAAAGTATGTAGGGCAGAATCTCTCTTACTTCTTCTTCTGAAGAAGCGGTTAAGAAATTCCTGAGCTAGCAAGAAGCTGCACATATGGCAGTCCTCACAAGATGAAAGTGTGTATTCAGGATAGATTGATGATGATGTGGTCACGGCCAAAATGTCCTAAAGGGCTTTTCTGTCCAGCAAAAGTCCTTGACAAAACTAATAAGAAAGCGCCTTTTCTGAATATTACTTTAAGGAAATGGAGATAATCTCCCTCAAATTTGGAAGAACTCTTTCTGCAGAGATAAAACTGAGATGAAGAAGGATTACTGAGATACTCATGGAATGACTGGAATTTGCCCATAGTTAGTCCCAGAAAGTAGGAGAGCTATCAAATGGTGGCCCTTCCCTTTTACTTCTGTCCCATTAAATTTTCCTTCTAATTGCAGTTATGGGTCATGCTAGATTTCTGCACTTGAATAGTGATTCTTGGTGTGCAGTTCAGAAGTCATACATGAGAAAGCACTTAAATAAACTTTGTGGTTCTCAACATTGGCCATAAAAACTCTCATCTTGCTGGTCATCCATGAGCATAGCAGTATGTAGCCACATGGTACAATGGACTTTTTGTTTCCATTTGTTCTTGAACCAAAAAAGTATTAATGTATATTCAAGACAAGTAAACAAGGAAGAATACAAAAACTGAGCATTTTTTTTTCCAAAACTTTATTTTCTTATTACCTAAATCTTCTGAAAATATTTAAATAGTAATTAAAATACAAAAACAGCTTGCTTACATATAAGGTTATTTTAATAATATCACACTGTAGCAACAATGTAGTTTTCTAAAGAATTTACCTTTCTCACATACTCCCTAAGAGACAACTAGAATGTAAGATAAAAAGGAATAAAAAGTCTGTAAAATTTTGCATTTAATATTCATGCTGATTTTAGTAACCCTAAAGGACTATAACAGAAGGATCACCCTAGTATTCTGGAAAGACAGTAAGTTCTTCCTTCTTGCAGATTAATTTAAATATTTGGTCATTGGCAGATGTAGCATCAAAATTGGATCAATTGTTACTTTTACTACATTTGCAGTCTGCACAAAGGTGGTCTCAGTCTAGCAGRGCACTACAAAATACATCTAAGTATAAGCACCCAAGAAGTCTTCTGAAACAAACTTSCATAGTGATGTGCTAGATTGAAGTCAAAATGAGCACTCCTTTTCTTGATCTCTTGCTACTATTTTTGCAAAGAACAAATTATATCTATACAACAGAAGAGCTTCAAGAACAGTTTGAAGAACTTGAAAAAAAMCAAACCAGAAGAAAATTTCAGTTTAAAAAGGAATATTATTTTTCTTGCACAATTCCAGGTCTTCTGTCTCTCAGCAAACCATTACCCTCAGGGCACCAGGACCAAAGCTCCATAGGCTGTCAAGCATCAAGGTAGAAACAACTGAAGTTTGCCATCCAAGGTGGCTGTGGTGAGCTGCAGTTCAAAAGAAACAAACATGTGGCTTTATTAAAGATCTTTCCAGTGAGTGGTTTGCTTTAATGGGCAACCAGTTGAATGAAGACTACTAAGAAGATATTTAAATTACTTCTCTATTAAGAAAACTAGGATACACTTCAAAAATAAAAGCAAAAACTTAAGCTATAGGCTCTTCTAAACCAAGTTAGTCTAAAAATTTCTTTTACTTAGATTTTTCTTTTCCGACCATTTTCAAGTTTGTGTCAAGATCAACTAATACATCAACAGTCTGTAAAACTAAAGCATATGTATAAACACATAGAAAATCAAACAGGTCTTAGCATGTAAGACTCAAGAAGTGAGTATGGAAGAAATATGAAAGAGATGGAATGAATGAAGGTGGAAAATTCAAGATGAATTAAATCTGGCATACCAACAAATAGAGTTTTCAGATTTTTATTGGTGCTAAACRTAGTCCAGCAATTTCCTTTGTGAGAAACTATACTGAAAAAAGCAATAAGCTTATAAAAAGGCAAGTCTCAGTGACATGTATGAGCCCTCAATCATCTTCTTTCATCAATATCATGAAATCTTAAATACAACATTAGAGAAATACTGTTTTCTGCAATCTACAAATAAGCATTTGAAATCCTGCTGTAGTTTGGAAAATGATGATCTATAAACAGCATTTTTCATTCATTCTTTCATTCATTTCATTCTCTTTGTACATTAAGATACACATTTACTGATGTTAGTGACAAAACTGAAAAGCTGGAACCAGAATTGCATCTCATGCTCTAAGTAGTTCATCCTAACTGCTCTCACTAAATCACTATAGGTCTGCATTCCTCTCACATTTTTTTTTTTTTTTTAATTCTTTGTCTTTGACATAGCAACTCGCTCATTTTCTTCCTTTGGCCAAAGTGGCTCTATAGTCAATATATTATTTTATTGGCTTTGTCTTCTCTCCTTCAGTATCTCCAATGACAAATTACTTTAATCTCTCAAAATTGTTATCTCCTCCTAGGATGTGACTTTGGTTCTTTTATTCTCATTCACTTACATAATCTTAAAACTGTAGACTACTCAGAACTGTCTAATTTGCTGTTTCTATCCGTACTAATTTCAGTCATCCAAGACAGTTATATCTCTCACAAAGACTTTCGCTGGCTCCTWATTTACCTCTGTAACTTTTTATTGGATAGATGATATGACTATAAAGTATCAAGTAATCTATCCTAAGTTTCTGTATATACTTATCTTGGAAAAAAAAAACAAAGGTCTTTTTATTAATAATATAATCTTACTGAAAAGCTGACCAAACCCTACAAATTTGAGATGTATTATATTCTAATTGAAGTTTCACTATTAAGAAGATAATGTAGAACCCTTGCTGGTTCTCAATTGAAAATAAAATAATAGTAAGACAATTGAATTCTATTCTTATTTTTTTACAACCAAGGAGGTCATCTAGTCCAATCTCTTGCTTTAAGTGGGACCACTGAAAATACTAGAACAGGTCAGCCATAGCTTTGCCTAGCTAAATACTGAAAAAATACAAGGACAGCTCATTCTAGTATTGCATTGCCCTCCTAGTGATTTTCTTTTTCCTAATACGCAACATGAACCTCAAAAGCTGCAACGTGTGGCCACTGCCTCATCATATGCTCTCACACTACCAAACCAGAGCTTCTATTTGCTAAAAATAAATGTATTCACTAAACTACCATTACATTACTCTTCTAGAGTCCTGATGTTTGTACTCTCCACAAAAAATAACCTTCCYACTTCATCTAGGCACCCATTTCCACACTTCTGACAATACAAAACCACAGCCTACCTTCTGTCTTCCTTCTTAAAATCCCACTGAATGAGGGGTCCCAGAATTTGGCCCTCTAATCCAACTATGGCCTCACCAAGACTGAGGAGAAGGGTGATCTCTTATCTGCTGGCCATACTACTATGGCTTCATACATAGTATGAAGCTTCTAGAGAGGGTCCAGCAGAGAGTGACAAAGATGATTGACTGGAACATCTCTCGTATGAGGAGAGACTGAGTGAGTTGGGCCTGTTTAGCTTGGACAAGAGAAGGCTGAGAGGRGATATGAGGAACATGTATAAATACATGAAGGGAGAATATAGGGAGGAAGGGACCAAGTTCTTCTCAGTGGTGGCCAGTGACAGGACAAAGGGTAATGGGTACAAACTGCAACACAGGCAGTTCCATCTCCATGTGAGGAAGAACTTCTTTACTGTGAGGGTGACAGAGCCCTGGAGCAGGCTGCCCAGGGAGGTTGGGGAGTCTCCTTCTCTGGAGGTCTTCAAAACCCGCCTGATGCCGCCCTGTGCCCCATGCTCTAGGTGTGCCTGCTTGAGCAGGAAGGTTGGACTAGATGATCTCTAGAGGTCCCTTCCAACCTTGAATATTCTGTGATTCTGTGATTTTGTGATAGTCCAGTCCATGGTTTGCCTTACTGTCAGTGAGAGCCTACAGTTGGCTCAAATTCAGTTTAGCAAACATCACAACCCAAAGACTGATTGCTCAGCCAGTCACTTCCCATTCTCTACCAACGCAGGGCTCACAACGTYCCAGATGCAGAATTTTGCACTTCTCCTTAATGAGAAACCTTCATGGTGTTTCGCTGGACCAGTCCTTAAGGTCTCTTTAGATTACAGTTCTGCCATTCAGCATGTCAGCTACTCTCTGTAATTTAGCTTGATCTGAGAATTTTCTAAACACTTCGGCAGTCCATCTTGCCATCCAGGATGCTGATGAAAACAGTGACTAATAAGGACCCCAGAATTGACTCCATGGTACTACATTCATTACCTTACACTATCTGGAAATAAATCATTAATCATATTTTGCACACAGCAGTCCAGTTGATGGCAGGGAATAACTGAAGTATTTTGTAAATGATTAGCAAATATATTTATTTTTCCTGAGTCTCAGGAAGCATAGTATAGCTACAAGTCAAAGAGACATAACACCTTTTTTTTTTCTCTATATATAACTTAAAACATTGTTTACATTATCAGCTCAAATATTACAGTTCAAATTTGAAAGGTTGAAATTTAAGATTCAATCAATGTATATTTGAGAAGAAAAAGTAAAACAATATTTTACTAGTCCAGTATATTAAAAAAATCAAAAGTGAAGGATTTTCCAGTGAAGTTCTAATAATTTAACTGCAACCATTTTATTAAATCTAGTTTCCTAAAATGTTATGTCACTCACTTTATTTTTCTGACAACTTCTATCCCTTGATGGGAAGCAAGTAACATTGATGTCAAGGCATTAAACTGAAACATTGTTTTATTTATTCTTTCTTCTCAAATATGCATTGACTCATAAATTTGAACATTTCCTTCTTAATTTCTTAAATGTACGCAAACAAAACATCCTAAGAAAACTTCCATCTTCCTCTTCTCCACCATCTGATCTCACAAATAAACATGTGTTCACCAGATTAATATTCTCCCACAAAATATCTGACTATGGAACTCATATCAATTATTTTAGCCTTAGCAACTGGTAGCTACTCTAGTATATATTATTTTCCCTAAACAAGATGAATGTTTGAGACTGGAACTTTCCAGTTCCAGCGACAGAACTTTCACTTTGCCCCATATGCTCAGGAATAAGCAGCTAACAGGCTCTTTCCACTAGTCTGATTAGAGTGCCATATAAAGTATGAGAGGGAAGTTGTGGAGTTTCTTTGGAAATAATTTACTTTCTGCTTATGATTTGAAATCTAAGCAGGGGAAACAAAAACAGGTCATTTATTGTTTCTTGCATACCAGAGGTTTGTGAGTAAGAAAAATAAAAGGTCAAAATATTGGGCTGGGCATTAGGCTAAGATGCAGAGTGAAAAAATGTAAGAAGRAAAAAACCTTTTTTCTAAACTTCTTGGTAGCAGAAATCTTAATAATATTTTTTTCTTGCACTACACACACTCTGTATTGCTTATCTTGAACACGGAAGACCATACCAGTGTAATATTGTTAATAACATACAAATTTAAACAGTAGACCTTGGACTAGTCCCTTTGTTTCTTCATAATACAACCAAGGATGCTTTAAAATCAATGCACAACAATCTGTAGAAAATTATCAAAACATACTAATGGGATTAGCATCTACAGAATGTTAAAAATAGTAAATTTTTATTTAAATCAAACTTTTAAAATTCTTTTCCAATGTAAAACCCTTCATAGCAGATATGTAAGAAAAAACAGTGAAATAAAAAAAATGAATAAGAAAATAAAATAAGAAATTAAAAGAACATCATATATTTAAAAGGACACAAAGAATTCCACACTCTAAGTTTTCCTTGAGAAAAAGTTTTCCAAATAAAAATCGTAATGGAAAAATTTTGCATTAACTGGCTAGCTCATTTAGTTTCCAGACAGCTTCATTCTGTGCCAGAACCAGAGGATATGAACCCTACGGCTTTGTAAAATCATCCCTGAAGCAGCTTCAATCAGATGAAGAATTCTTCATGTCAAATGGTTGCATACAGTTTACAGGAACAGCTGCTAGTTTCCATTTTCAAAGAAGTAATCAGTGAACAGTGGTTCAGGGAAGTCTTTGTTTATGGTTTGGCAAATCAGTCACTCTTGCTGCTCCTCTCATAAGCGGCATATATTGGTATGATTAAAAAAAAGTGATTAAAGTTGAAGTGAAAGTATAACTTATTTTGTTATTTACAAATACTTGCATATGTGATTGGAAAAGCAATCATGAGAATTATATTGTGCTCTTATTTCTAAGAGTGATTAGATACACCTAGATATCACAGCAAAAGATTACCAGCCAGCGTTTCAGAACAGTGAATTTATGCACATGTACAAGCATTTAGGCAACACTTCTGTACAAAATGTGGAGTTCAAAAAACTAAGAATAATCAAAGCCTAAATGACCACTGTATCCAATAATAGCCTTCCCGGTCATTTTTTACCCCAATTTAGGTGTTTAAATTCTGTGTATGTACAGTTCTCAAAATGGAAGTAATGAAA